AAAATAAATGCTAAATAAAGTTTTTCAGGTTGAGGAGAAATTACACCAGAGAGAAACATAGAACATTAGAAATTAATAAAGAATGAAAGAAATGATTAAGATCCTAATAAGTAAAGTATTTTTCTCCTCTTAAATTCTTTAAAATATATATATAACTGTTGAATGCAAAAATCATAACGTTGCCTATAATGTTCCAATGTATATAGATGTAATATATATGACGACTATAACATAAAAGGAAATGGATAGAGGGACTAATATGATTATAAACCTTCTATGGTTTACTGGAAGTGGCAAAATATTAACTCTATGTATACTGTGAAAAGTTAAGTACACTGTAATCCCTCAAGCAACCATCAAAAAGTACCACAAAGAGTTATAGGCAAAAGCCCAATAAATAAGATAAAATATTATGAAATATTTAAATAATCCAAAAGAATTCTGGAAAGAGAATAAAACAGAAGTGGTGAACAGAAAACAAATAAAATGGTTATCCATCTTAAATTCAACAATTTTATTAAATATAAATTGTTTAAACACCAATTAAAAGACAGATGTTTTTAGACTGGATAAAAATGACACCCAACTACATGCAGTCTGTAAGAAACACATTTTAAATACAATAATATAGGCATATCTAAAGTAACATGATGGAAAAAGATAAACCGTGAAAACACTAATCAAAAGAAAGTTAGCTGGGCGTGGTGGTTCACGCCTGTAATCCCAGCACTTTGGGAGGCTGAGGTGGGTAGATCACAAAATCAGGAGTTTGAGACCAGCCTGATCAATACGGTGAAACCCTGTCTCTACTAAAAATACAAAAATTAGCCAAGCGCAGTGGCATGTGCCTGTAGTCCCAGCTACTCGAGAGGCTGAGGCAGGAGAATTGCTCATGGCGGAGGTTGCAGTGAACCAAGATCACGTCACTGCACTCCAACCTGGGCCACAGAATGAGACTCTGTCTCAAAAAAAGAAGGAAGGAAGGAAGGAAAGAAAGAAAGAGAGAGAGAGAGAGAGAGGGTGGGAGGGAGGGAGGGAGGAAGGAAGGAAGGAAGGAAGGAAGGAGAGAGGGAAGGAAGGAAGGAAGGAAGGAAGGAAGGAAGGAAGAAGGAAAGAAAGAAAGAGAAAGAAAGAAAGAAAGAAAGAAAGAAAGAAAGAAAGAAAGAAAGAAAGAAAGAAAGAAAGAAAGAAAGAAAAGAAGGGAAGGAAGGAAGGAGAAAGAAAAGAATGTTGAAAGGAAAAGAAAGGCTTATTTTTAGACAAAGTAGACTTCAGAACACAGAAAATTTTCAGAGATAAAGGACTTTAAGTAATGATAAGAGAGTAAATGCATCAAGAAGACATAATACTAAATGTGTATGTATCTAACAATAGATTACTAAAATATATGAAGCAAAAGCTGACAGAACTAAAGAGAATTGGACAAATCCACAATTATACATCAAAGCATCACAGGACCATGAATCCTAAAATCTTGACCTCAGTTTCTCTCAGGCCTCTTTTGGCCTCAGTTGACTCTCTGTGTTCCTCTAGTTCCACAAAGGAATAACCCGGCCCCAGAGAATTTAGGGTAACTGTGAAAGCGTGTTCTGTGAGGAGCCCACCCCAACCAGATGGGAGACTGTGAGCATGGCCAGACATTAACCACTTGTTGAAATTTTAGAGAAAATCAATAGGAATTTTCCAGCAATGTCTCTCTGGGACACTCAGGAAAGCTCAAACACAGCATTAAGACTTTGTTGTGGACAGGTATTATTTTGCTTCTATCATCCATTCTCCCACTTCTGATAACAGTGTTTCAATTTTGCTTTAGGGAAAATACCTCTACATACCCCTAGCTTAAACCGCAATTAAGTCGATATGAATATTTCATCCTCCTGACTCAGTGATTGGTCAGAGACAGGCACACAACTCAGCCAGAGCCAATGAGATACAAGGTTATACTTGCTGGGGCATCTGGGAAAGAGAGCTTCCTCTCTCTTCTTTGGGCACCACCAGAAAACATGATGTTCATTTAGCCAGATGGTGTAGCATGGGGATGTGAGAGCTGGGCAGGCCACAGCCTTTTTGATATCAGGAGGGAAACCCTAGAACTATACTGTGTAGTGCCTGAGGGTAAAGCCTACACTGCAGAAGGCAGAGCAGAAGGACATATAAAAAAGGGTCTTGATTGTTCTGAACCCTTTGGTTCAAACCTTATCTAAAGACAGAACAACTCTGGTAATTTCTATTATGCAAAGGAATAAATGTTTCCATTTTTCCATTATTTTTCTTGCTTACAATAGTTTGCATAATATTTTGGGTTTTCTGTTGTGAATGACATTCACAACATAGAGTCCTGACTAATACAAGGCTTACTCTCAACTCTTCATCCCTCCATAAAGCTCATATCTATCTTTCTGAAAAAATAAAAACAAAAGTGGAGGCGGGTGGATCATAAGATCAGGAGTTCGAGACCAGCCTGGCCCATATGGTGAAACTCCGTCTCTACTAAAAATACAAAAATTAGCTGGGTGTGGTGACAGGCACCTGTGGTCCCAGCTACTCAGGAGGCTGAGGCAGGAAAATAGCTTGAACCTGGGAGGCAAAGGTTGCAGTGAGCTGAAACTGCGCCACCGCACTCTAGTCTGGGCGACAGAGTGAGACTCCATCTCAAAGAAAAAAACACAAAAAGTGATGTGCAGCAAGTGTTTTTATGTTTAATGCTGGATAGTATCTTTACTTGTAGAAAATAATATGCGAGGCTGGGCGCAGTGGCTCACGCTTGTAATCCCAGCACTTTGGGAGGCTGAGGTGGGTGGATCACAAGGTCAGGAGATCGAGAACATCCTGGCCAACATGGTGAAACCCTGTCTCTACTAAAAGTACAAAAATTAGCCGGGTGTGGTGGCGTGCGCCAGTAGTCCCAGCTACTCGGGAGGCTGAGGCAGGAGAGTCGCTGAGGCAGGAGAATTGCTTAAACCTGGGAGGTGGAGGGTGCAGTGAGCCAAGATCAAGCCACTGCACTCCAGCCTGGTGACAGAGTGAGACTCCATCTAAAAAAAAAAAAAAAAGGAAGGAAGGAAGGAAGGAAGAAAGAAAGAAAAGAAAGAAAGGGAGAGAGAGACAAGGAGGGAGGAAGGGGGGGAGGGAGGGAGGGAAGGAAGGAAGGAAGGGAAAGAAAGAGAGAGAGAGGGGGGAAAGAAAGAAAGAAAAAGAGGAAAGAAGAAAGAAAGAAAGAAAGAAAGAAAGAAAGAAAGAAAGAAAGAAAGAAAGAAAGAAAGAAAAGAGAGAGAGAGAAAGAAAGAAACAAAAAAAGAAAGAAAGAAAGAAAAGAAAATAATATGCAAGCATTTTAAAAGACAAAGCTTTATATGTGGAAAAAGTAATACCTTAATGATTAGCAATACACATAAACAAGAGAATTATTACTCAGAATTTAAAACTGTAAGCAAAAAAAAAAAAATGTTTTTTTATATATTGATAGAGAATGCTATTAACTCAGTTTTTGCTAAAATCTTTGAAAAGCATCACTGGAGGTACTGTCTCCTGAGAGAATGTTTACCAGCATCAACTACCTCAACCTGTAATTCTTAAAGAACAAGAATAAATTCAGGAGGCCCAGTCTTCCCTGACCCTGTTGGTACTCAAGGGAAGAATGGCTTCAAAATTCCTCCATGGGTTTTGCATTTCAGGCTCAAGCTACCTTCTTGATGGAAAATTCTTTAAGTGTTCTGAAAATCACAGTCCTCCCTAACTTCAGTGGAAAATATTCATATTGTCCAGCTGAACGAGGATTGGATACTTAAAACCAAGGATTTCCTAAAATGAAAAAGTTTCTGTGGATAAAACTGGTTACACGCCGAGACTGGAATGGAGTTAATTCTGGGTAGATATGGGATTCAAGAGATTGGTCTTCATGAGGCATTTACAAGGGATTCAGAGGTGGAGCGAGCACAGTCCTTCCTGGGCAGTTGCCTCTAGCCTGGTGGGAGGTGTTCTCACACCCTGGACTCTCATGCAGGGCAAAAAAAAGAAAGTGAGATATTGAGTGGGCACGGTGGCTCACACCTGTAATTCCAGCAATTTGGGAGGTCTAGGTGGGTGGATCACCTAGGCCGGGAGTTCCAGACCAGCCTGGCCAACATGGCGAAACCCCATTTCTACCAAAAATACAAAAATTAGCCAGGTGTGGTGGTGTGAGCCTGTAGTCTCAGCTACTCGGGAAGCTGAGGCACCAGAATTGCTTGGACCCAGGAGAAGGAGGCTGAAGGGAGCTGAGATCATGTCACTGTACTCCAGACTGGGTGACAGAGTGAGACTCATCTCAAAAAAAAAAAAAACAAAAAAAAACAAAAAACAACAAACAGTGGCTATCACATCAGAGAAGCTCCTGGCCGGGCAGCCTGGAGGAACAGGGATGAGTTCAGCACATTGAGATGGAGTTGGCTTTCCCAGTTGGAGGGAAGAGCATGAGAAGGGAAACAGGTAAAAGTAGAGTAGTGCCGGGGCCACCGAGTAGTAGTCCTTTCAAGACAGGACTTCATCATAGAACCACTTTCTCTGAGGGAGCTCTGCTGGAGGAGGTTTGCCTTTTGAATGGCAAAACCAGGGTTGATGGTGCCAGCACAGAAAGGGCTGGCAGGGTGGAGGGTCTATGATAGAGACCTATAGGAGATAAAGATGGAGTTGAATTTATGGGAGCCTGCCTGTCTGTGGGAGATAGAAGGGGAAAGGCAAATTCCATGAGTCTCAGGTGAGGTGGGCAACAGATACCTACCAACACTCCAAAGAGACCACGTGCTTCTATAAAAGGGCACGGTCTAGTGAGCAAAGCCCACAGCTCTGGGTTTGATTTCTAGCACTGTCACTTAATAATTGTGTGACCATAGACATTCGCTTAACTCTCTCAGCCTCAGGACCCAATCTGTAAAAACAGGAGAAAGCTTGTTCCCTGTGCTTTATAGGATTGACATGTGTATCGGGAGAAACAGTGGGCACAAAAGAGCATTGTCAACTGCTTCTTTCTACTCAGTTATCTGGTCATGTTTCTGAAACTCCCCAGGACTGGGAACATAGCATATGATTTTTTTAAAGTTACTTGATGAATGAGTGAATACATGAATGAGTGAATGAATGAATAATATTCAAAGGCCTCCAACTAAATAATAGTCTCCTAACTGTACTGAAAGCCTTTAATTGACTTTGTGGCTGTTTGGCCTGGCACAAGGCTCTGAGTTAGTGGTGATCAGTTGGTGTCGTGGTACAGAAGAAAGCCTGTGAAGGTGGAGTCATTGTCATTATCAGCATAGAGTCCATTACGCTCTCCTTCCCCATACACCTGAAGCCAGACTTGGTCGCCCACCTCCAGATGCAGGAGCACAGAGCCGGAGGCCTGGTCCACATTATTTTCCTGGTACTGGTCATAGGTGAAGAGCATAGCCTTGTCCTTCTTGAAGAGGCTGACCTTCACATCCTTCATATAGACTGTGATGTGGTAGGCAAAGTAGTACAGCCCAGGAATGTTGCAGTGGAATTTACCAGTGGAGCCATCATAGTGGTTTTGCTGATTGTAGAAGATCTTGGTAAAGCGAATGGGCATGTTGGGGACAGTAACGTAGGTCTCCAATCCCACACTGAATGCTGAGCGGTATACATAGGCATCTTCTCCAGGTTCTCCTTTCCTGCCTTGGATTCCCGGAAAGCCTCGGGGACCTTCAGCCCCGGTTACTCCAGTTTCACCAGTGTCTCCCTTAGGACCAATAAGACCTAAGGAATGAGAAGACCTCAGTGACCACAAAGAATAGAACTCCTGCCTAGGTTGGTTACAGCCTAAATTACCATCCCTGTGGCTCCCACTCACAACCTTCTTGACTTATAGAGCAAGAAACCAATAAGAGAGCCCAAAAGGAGAGAGATGTTACCTCCTCCTTCTATATCTCCCACAGACAGGCAGGCTCCCATAAATTCAACTCCATCTTTATCTCCTATAGGTCTCTATCATAGACCCTCCACCCTGCCAGCCCTTTCTGTGCTGGCACCATCAACCCTGGTTTTGCAATTCTACCCCCTCTATCTAGGATGTCTCTCCTCCTCTATTCTGCCTATCCATCATTCAAGGCCTAGTTGAAGCTCTGCTTCCTCCTTGAAGCTTTCATTCTTCATCCAGGTCCATGGTGAGTACACTTTCTCTATGCTCCATACTTTGAATACTCGTTCACATTCAGTTTGACATTTTTAGAGTAGACTTTCTTGTAGTAACCACCAACAGAGCCTTGCACATTAGACATCTTACCTAGATCAAGAGTTCCCCAAAGGCAGGATTGTGCCCTTCAGGGGGTGTGCAGGTGTGCAGTAAATGTGGTTGAATGCCACTGGATGGAATAGAAGTTAGCTAGACAGAAAGAGGAATCAGAATATGAATGCATTGGGAATAAGGATGAGGGTGAAGATGGGAAAGGGGATGGAAAAGGACATGCAGATGCAGCAAAGTCAAAGTCTTCATTATAGAGGCACCACCTATTCTCATCCTTGGAAGACCAACCTCAAATCCACTTCAAGTCGCTTATGGTTTACATAAAAAAGCTTTGCTTTCTCCCTGTGTCTAGGCCTTAGTTAATAACAAATGCCTTCATGTAGTTTATATCAGTTAGGGAGGTATGTGATGAAAGAGGCCAAAAACATTCTTACCTGGATCTCCTTTCTCACCCTTCTCGCCAGGGGTGCCATCTCTGCCATCACGACCTGGGACCCCATTATGGCCTGGATGCCCTGGGATGCCTGCCATCCAACCTGTGCAGGCCCCCTTGGGCAGAGGAAGCAGGACTCCGGGCCCTTGAGTTGTGGTATCCTGGCCATGACTGGGCAGAGCTAATAGCAGTAGAACAGCTCCCAGCAACAACATCCTGAGTCCTGGAATCCACATGTGCACTGTCAGCCATGGAGAGACAGACCCCACACAGCACACCCAGTTGATACCTACACAGGACTCCATCCACCTCAGCAAAGTCCGCTTCAAGGAGCTGCTTTCTCAGTATTCAACTCTTTCGGGAAGACTTTTCTGAATATTGCAGCCCACCTTGATCTCTTTCTGCCCCCAAATTTGTAATACTTAACATTATTCCTGTGTGTAGTCTCCTTTCCTCACCAAAATTATGAATTCAGTGATTGCACAGATGACACTCCTCTAATTTTTCCATATCTGAGCACAGGAACAAGCACAGGGAAAGCTCCAAGAGTCAACTTGCCAAGAATCCATCCTTGAGTTTCCCAAGTACGATGACACAGTTTGCTCCAATCAGTGCTAACCAGCTTCTCTCCCCTGGCTCCTTTCTTCTTTTTCTTTCCCCCCTTTTCTTTCATTTTCTGTGTCTATTCCTCCTTCTTACTCTCTCATTCTTTCTTCCTCTACCCCTCTCCTGGGGCACAGGTTTGACCATTTGGTATATTACATTTGCACACACACACACACACACACACACACACACACACACACAGAAAGAGAGAGAGAGACTCACCTTGAGTTAAACAGACAACAAGAGACACATCATCCCATGAACATATCTGCTGGCCCTTTGTTTGCCTGGGCCACTTTTAGCTGCCCCTCCTCCCCTGTCTAATCTCTATTCAGGACCCAGTTCGGATGTCATCTCTTTCAGGAAGTCCTCCTTCTTCTCCATCTCACTCCTTGGTTTGTTCTTTCACCTCTGTGTTTCTCCAGTGCCCTGGTTATGTGGTTTGGGTCTGTGTCCCCACCCAAATATCATGTCGACATGTGTTGGAGAAGGGGCCTGGTGGGAGGTGATGGAATCATGGAGGCTGACTTCCCCCTTGCTGTTCTCATGATAGTAGGTGAATTCTCACAAGATCTGGTTGAAAGTGTGTAGCACTTCCCCTATATGTGCTCTCTCTCTCTCTCTCCTCTCTCTCACCCTCTCTCCTGCCGCCATATAATGTGCTTGCTTCCCCTTCGCTCTTCCACCATGATTGTAAGTTATCTGAGGGCTCCCCAGCCATGCCCACTGTACCACTTGTGGAACTGTGAGTCAATTAAACCTCTTTTCTTTATAAATTACACAGTCTCAAGTAGTTTTTCATAGCAGTGTGAGAATGGATTTATACACCTAGCTTAGCTCTATTGCGCTCTATTGCACTCTGCTGTAATTTCTGTTTTGCTCACCGATTTCTCCATTAAACAGCAAGTACCAGGGGGCAAAGACTAACACACTAATAGGACTAAATAAGTAAGGACTAAATAAGTACTTTTATAATGAGGAAAATAAATCATGAGAGAGCCAGAGAAAGGAAGGGAAGGAGGAAGGAAAAGAAGAAAGGAAGGGAAGGAGGAAGGAAAAGAAGAAAGGAAGAAAAAAGGAAGAGTGGAAGAGGGAAGGAAGGAGGGAGTGGGGAACGTATTTGAAATATGTATTCTGGAGCCCTAGCAAACAGCTCAAGTGACACAGGTAGTCAAAGGACTCCCTGTCTCAAAATCATTCTTCAATATCCCCCTCCCAGAAAAGGGCCCAATACAAGTATAGGGACTTTTGTCCCCTCTCAGAGTCTGCCTCTGATCTTAGGGGGATCTTAGGCCCCCACCTCTGATTGCTGAGGTCTTAGTCTTCCCACTCTCACCAAGGAGTTGGGAGAAAGCATCTCACAGAGAGAAACAGGCCCTAGGATCCTGGATTAGAGGCATCACTAAGACCCTCTGTGGGTTAATGTGGTTAATCCCAAGAATTTGATTCTAAACAAAGTGTAGTCCATGTGCTTTATTTTACCTTAAAGATTCACTATTTTTCATCAGTTTGCTTGTCTCTTCTAAATTATATGACGTCTCCAGAATTAGGTTTGTCTTCAGGACAACTGAAGGTTTGTTGAAGACAAACCTATTCCTCTGTGGGGGATGGAAGAAAGACCGTGATTCGCCTGGTATCTGGAATCCCACTCCTATGCTCCATTACCTGGGTGCTATACTGCCCTCTTCACGTGGCACAACCAACTCATCTTTCATCTTTATCAAATACATGAGATAAACTTTGTATATACATATAAACTATATGTATATATTACATATGTAGTTCATTAAAAATAATAGTTATGTAGTTCTTTGGAAATGACAGAAAAGAAAACAATCCTCAACCCCAAGAATGTCTCTGTTAATTTTTAAACATAGTGGAAATCATACTTTATGTAAAACTTTATTCCTCTATTTTTCCCTTGTCATTTTCTAGTCTTTATAATCACTATTTGTAATGTCTCAGAGTGCTAGTCTAGTAAGTGGATATAATCAATATATATTTGACCATTTATATTTCATCAAACTTTTAGCATATTTTCATTTTTAATTATTATTTTATATTCTTTAAGAAATTATACTTCAATTTTTAAATAATATTTGAAATATCCTTAGGTATATAGCTTTCCCCAAGATTATGATTCTGTTATGACAGATTCCCAGAAGTAAAATACTGGACCAAAAGGTATGTACAGTTTTAAGTCTCCTGAAACATAGCCCCACATGGCAGTATGTGTTATACATGAGTGTGTGTATAAAAGGGCATACCTTAACCACCCTCATTAGCTTTGGGTATTATAAAAAACATGTGTGTGTTGTCAGTTTAGTGAGCAAAAGAAATAATGGTACCTCACAGCTCTAGTTTGCTTTTTTTTTTTTTTTTTTTTTTTTTTTTTTTTTTTTTTTTTTTTTGAGAGAGGGTTTCACTCTGTCACCCAAGCTGAAGTGCAGTGGCACAATCTGGGCTCACTACAGCCTCCACCTCCAGGGTTCACGCGATTCTTATGCCTTAGCCTCCCAAGTAGCTGAGATTACAGGCATGCACCACCACACTCGGCTAATTTTTGCATGTTTTAGTAGAGACGGGGTTTCACCATGTTGGCCAGGCTACTCTCAAATTCCAGACCTCAGGAGATCCTCCTGCCTTGGGCTCCCAAAATGCTGGGATTAAAGGCATAAGCTACCACACCCGGCCCTTGCCTCTAAGTGTTAAGCAGTTGTTATTCATGCTAAGATTTAGTAAGTATTCAATTTTCTTCCGTTTTTTTCCTATTGTTTGATATAGTTAAAGTTTCACTCTTTAATGTAGCTCTGATTTTCTGTTTTGATGTAAGCTGTGACCTAAGGTACTCAAGTGATTTCTCCCCACTTGAAGACTAGCTGTTACAACAACTTTAATTGCATTTTTTCCTTCACTATAGATCTGATGCATCATTTATCAAATATCAGGTTCTAATGTGATCTTATAAGTAAAGTAACAATTGAGAATGAAATGGCAGACAGAGAGAAGAGAGACAGAAACAGCAATAGAAACAGGTGCAATCAGACTCAGGTGCTGCCCTTTTAGGTGTCATGAGTCTTTATTTAAGACCCGCTACTATCATTTATATGTACATTTGTCGCCCTCTACTGAATTTGAAGAGTTCAGGAGAGTGTTCTCAATAGCTGCTGGAAATAAAATGAGAAACAGCTTAGGTTTGACTAGTCTCAAGATAAGAAAAAAGAGGTGAGCTACATGAGAAGCCAAGGAGAGACCAGCAAAGCCCCTTTTGTATTTTAGGAGAATTCTTGTTTTGAGACTTTAAAGATTTCACGCATCTTTAAACTTCCTGACTGCTTGTCACCTCTGCCTTTTCTTGTTATGGCTTTGGCAATAAAACTGAGAAGAACTTTGAGCTCCATGCGTGTTTTTCTCCAGAAATGGGAAGAATCTGTGAGACTCCATCATTTTCCACTGGGAAATAGGAGGAGAGAATCCAGAATATGTGAACGGGTGGAGGCAGCTAAAGAAGGCCCCAGAGATAAAGGGTGAATGGGGGCTTAGCCCAAAACCTTGGAGAGAGGACAAACTCAGGGGTCTCAGGAGTTTTCTGGCTCCTCCCCCTTTGATAAAAATAAAGATCCCTTTCTCCTACCTTAAGGGAACACCCTTTGTCCCCACATTTCAGTACTATGGACAGATTTCTCCACTAATAGGTGCAATCAGCCTAGGTTCCATGACAGTGGCATGGGGTAGAGGTGCTGGAAATACAAGAGCAGGATGAGCACAGGAGCCTCGGAAGTTTCCAAGACTAAGAACGGACTCTGATTGAAAAAGAAAGTTGCATTCCAACTTAATTCTGGGTGGGAAATCGGCAATTAATAACAATTGAAGACCAGTGCAAACATGCCTAATTTAAAAAAAAAATTCTTTCAGAATTATTTGTGTTCTTTTTCATTTTACTTATTTATTTATTTGGAGACGGAGTCTTGCTCTGTCGCTAGCATCTTGCCCTCTCCAAGTCTCAGGTTCTCCTACACATTAGAGTCAAAAGCAGGGCTTTGGGAAGATTAAGTAGAATAAGTTTTAAAAATACCACATGAAAATTGCACTCCAAGAAACCCTCACCAATGTCAGCGTTCTCATGTTCCTCACCTCACATGATCCCGTTTAGCGGATTAGGAAGCTGACACTAGAAAGTTCTCTGTAATGCTTTCGGAGGCACCGTGATATGATAGAAAGCTCACTGATTTAGAAGTCAGAACAGAGTCTCTCAGTGATCATTTCCTTAATCTCTCAGTTTCCTCATCTCTAAAGTTGGGGTCATATATATAAAATTACAAACATACAAAAATATCTGTTTTTTTAGATATTGCCATTGCTACACTTTGTTTCCCTCCCTCCCTCCCTGCCTTCCTTCCTCTCTCTCTCTCTCTCTCTCTCTCTTTCTGAGGCGGAGTCTCACTTTGTGGGCCAGGCTGGAGTGCAGTGGCGCCATCTCAGCTAACTGCAACCTCCGCCTCCCGGGTTCAAGCGCCTCCTGCCTCACCCTCTCAAGTAGCTGGGATTACAGGCATCCACAACCACACCTGGCTAATTTTTTGTATTTTTAGTAGAGATGGGATTTCACCATGTTGGCCGGGCTGGTCTCAAACTCCTGACCTCAAGTGATCCGCCTGCCTCGGCCTCCCAAAGTGCTGGGATTATAGGCGTGAGCCACTGTGCCCAGCCTGTTACACTCTATTTCTATCAGAAAAAGAATTATTACTAAGTAATATTGAGTACTATGATCTAAAGCTCAATTATGCCTATATAGAAAACTTTTACATGGATCAAGAAGTTAAATCTCAAGTGTCACAATTCTTTGCCTTTGTAAAATGCTATTTGTTGTGTCCCTGTGGACTTAGCATGGCACCAAAATTTCTAAGTCTCAACTCTGTTATGTGTCCTTTAGTAACTCAGGAATCTGCTTAATTGTTTTTGGTGACAAAGCTTTTGGCAACGAAGGAGTTACACAGCTAAGTGCACCCTTGAAATGTCATTAAAAAAAAATTTGAGGTTGTATGATTAGCTGTACAGTTAGAGCAATAAAAAATCCAGGCGGATCTTCTGATTCACCATAATCAATTTAAGATTTCTTAATATTTCTTTCCTGGCAGCATACAAAAAGGCAAAATTAATAAATAACATAGTTGTTAAATAACAAATTTTGTTACTTTTTGTAAAATAAAGGGATCTATTTTATCTGTATTAAAACTAAAAATTTTGCGAACTTTTAAAATTTTTGAAAATGCTGTTTATAAAACCCTTTCCTCACTTGGTATCTCATTCAATTCTCACAACTATTTTGAGAGACAGGAAATTAAACTCTGGTCTTCAGAACCCAATAGCAGACTCTTAGACATAGTCCAGGAGGAGAAAAGTATTGTGGTCACACATCCTGCCTTTCAATATTCCACCCTATGGGGTGAGGGATACAAGAAAAAAGTAGCATAAAAAGACTTCCACTGTAATCTCAGCACTT